TGAGTACTTGATAGCCATTTCTTTCCTGTAAATATATTTCCTATATCTTATCTTTCCTCGAACAAACATAAAATATACACCATAAACAATAGGACTATTCTTCACGCATAACCTACTTCCTCTCCTCATATATGAAGAGGTAATTAGTTAACAGGCGGGGTTTAGTAGGGGGGTGGGGCGGGGGGTGGTGCAGGGATGTAGAGAAGTGAAGCACTGTTGATTGCCTTTTGATATTCTTCTTTCTCGCAAACTATATATATGTTGTCGCCTGCCATGGTCCCATTGTAAATATTCAGCGGCACAGAGACTTATGTCTAGTCTTCTGGATTTGCACATGTGACTCTTGTTTCTGCAACCGATCAAGTCTGTATGATTCCCCTCGGACCTCACAGATGATGAAGTGAAGGTCGTATATGTATGTTTTCGCGTATCCTACAGATCGATTTATAAAGAATAACGAAATTATTTTATATTTCAGATTAACAGAGCAATGGGGACTTGGGGTGAGTACAATTAGTCTTGTTACAAACTGCTGCAATAAAAAACAAAGTGAAACCGAGACCCTAAGACCCTTTCCGTAAAATTAGCTTTTACATTCAATTGCCAGAACCTCCTTCTGCCCCCCGAGATCTGACTGAAAGCGATATTGTCGTCGAAATATAATTCCCGAAATTAAATCTGTTGCAGTTCTTCTACAATGCAACAAAAATTTGTTTACAACAATGTGAATATTATAAATTGTGAGTTGAGAGTGTGATATCATTGAAGGATGATTCACGGTTGATAGGGTGTGGTGTTTCTATTGTATCACTGTGTTCAAATATTACACACACAGCAAAATTTATTCCATGTATTTTGTTGTTATTCATGTCTATATTATGGTATGGGTTAAGGCATAAATAGTATCTTGTGTGGCGTTTCAGCGTTCACGATAATACAACCCTTACGTTCAGATTATAGTTTTTTTATTTTGTCTACTGAACGAGTCCTCTTGTGTAGTGGAATAACGGGAATAGTTAATCTCTTTAGATATCACAGTGGCCCTAACAGGAAAAAAAGTAGCTGAAATGGGAATTATCCCTAACGGGAATTAACCCTGACGGGAAGACATCGTGTAGAGTTACGTCCTGAGTGGGGATTTAGTCTTGTCTGCTTGTTAAAACGTTTATTTGTTTAAATGCAAAATACTGATAATGTATATTTTTCTATATAATGTATTGCGAATACGGATGAGTGGCCAACCGCTCTGTTGTAACGATGCGATTTAAGGATTTGTCTGTAGACTGAGCCGCTCTGTTGTAACGTTAGGTAGCGTTTTTATGGTTTTGTCAACTGAGCAAGCTATTCTGTTGTAATTTTACGTTGTGTTTTAATATGAGTCACTCATAATAATGTTTTACGGTTTAGTCTATTGATCGAGTCCTTCTGTAGTAGCGCTACGTGCTGAAAAGCGTTTAAGGTTGTTGGCCTATTGGCCGAGACGCTTGATAAAACGTTCATCTGTTTAAACGATACGTGGCTTGTTGTGACGGTGCGTAGCTCTTTTATGTTTATCTACCAAAAAAGTAAATTTATATGTAGCAACGTTATTTAACGAATCTTTTCTTCTACTTGCAAAAAAGTGGCCCTGCGTTCAAATAGCGCAAGGTTTTGTAGCTTTTCATTCTTTTGTACATTATACTTCCTTATAGTTAGGAGGTAATACAAAACGTTGCCATACGATATTCTACGTAGAAGGCGCAGATAATTAGATTTTATTAAATAGGTTTAAGATTTAATTTACTGTACCGAAGACGACAACAACATCACAAACTGATAGAGTGTGATCTGAATTCACCATTTCTACTGGAAATTAAACATTTTAACTTTAAAGACATCAAATAAACAAAGAAGGAGATGGTCTAAATCACATTAATTGAGTTTGAAGCTAATAAAGGTTAGATCAAGTCGTGATGAGAATTTAAACTAGATTCAATCTGATGATTTTAACACTAGAGTTTTGTTGTTGGGTGACAATATATAGGGTGGAAATGTGGGTTTTAATTTAAAGATGCCAGGTCTGCCTTTTCGGACGTGGTTTTAATAAGTGAAGTTTTATAGGGCGCCTTGGACTTGACTGCAAGTTGAAAGTCTTTAAATACCCTTTTTGAAAATTCGATGAGAATCAGACTGTGGAATTTCTTTTTCTAGAAAATTTTTATTCACAGCTAAAATTCAGCTTTTAGACTTTATATAGAACATACTTAGAAGACATTCAAAGTCCAGAACTCATAAGATCGTGACTACGGAACGTGAAATTTTATGAATTTCACGGGTGAGGCGGAAGTTGTTGAAAAGTTGAAATCCAGTGGGTAATCAGTCGTCTTCTGTCTTATTATGACACGTCTACTCCATTTCCAATAATATTCTTGACTTCCATACATAATTAAGCAGGAAATAGACGAAGTGTACGATGTGGGATTATCCATACAGTAGAAAATAGTGCAAGCGAATTATGTCTGCAACGTGCCCAGACCCGTTTCTCGCGTGTTCACTTCTGTGTTTTGGATTTTGGGACAATACTTCGAGGATCAAAGGTTCATCGAAAATTGGAAAAGATGCAGTTCATTTCACTCTTTGTACATTACATGGGGTTGGCTTTTTTCAATCATTTCAGACGCACCTGAAAGTGAGACCTTGGACTCATCATTGGTTGGGCTTGAAGTGATCTAAGTGAGGACGTCATAGAGGGCACATCTCTGATTTGGATTACATAGAATGCTGCTGTCTATTACGTCCGCGCTTGTGATATTGTGATCGATTTGCCTTTCTGTCTGTAATCCAACTACCAACTACTACGACTACCAACAACTACCTAGTTTGCGATATCAGCATCCGCTGAAAGCGAACGTTAACTTGTCATCTACCTACCTACCTACCTATCTTTTTTTGTGTGTGAAACAGGACCCATACATCGCCACTTTAAACCTGATTAGTGTATATAGTAAAGCAGTACATTATAGCCTATATCTAACAGAGAACAAAGACTTAAATCGATAATTTTCATGTCACAGGGTCAAGGTTGTTTCTTTGTCTCTTATTTTATCTCAACCCCGTCTTGATATTGAGAAAATTTATATTATATTGAACCAAATGGAGTTTTACGCTGTTTTTCACCGTGTGTAACAAGCTGTTCACGTAAAGGATTCGAAAAAAAAATCGAAAAGAGTAGGCTTATGCTTCTGTCCTGGCAAATTTTTCCTTATTGCACACATCATGACGTTGTTCGCCTTCATTAGCCCTAGAAAAGTAGGACATAAAATTCCATTTCATTTCTTAATACCTTGTACAAAATCGATTTAGTTTCAGTTAAGTTCAGACTGTGTAAGTCCTACTTTAAGTGCTGTTAGGTTGTCATTAGATTGAACTAATGCTATAGAGTCTACATCTAGTCGTTAATTTCTATATCAGCTGACTGAACTTAAGGGACACAGTCGTCCAACCACTTAAAAGTAACGATGGCTTGGCCATCAGAGTATGAGTAAATCTGTCATGTGGTTTTAAAAAAAGGTCAATTAACCCGCTTTGATGTAGCCATTTTTACCTTTTGTTTTGTAAATATGACCACACGGACAAAAATCATGAGTACTCGCAATCCCTTTCGAAAGGTCGGTTGAACTCACTGCCTCGTCGAAACTATTTGGATAAACAATGTATCAACCCATTTATTCTTTGGGTTGTGACTCCTCTATGCATCTCCAGCCAGGCTACTCCGAGTGAACTCGTCTCTTAGGACTGTCTCTAACGTCTGGTTTTTTAAACGGCAAGATCCCTTGACTGTGAATGAAAGAGGACATGAAATGAAGCAATAAACATGGTGGTAATAAAACAACATGGTGAATTAGAATGAAATAAATCTCGGTGATATAAAAATCAGCCAGGAAAATATTCACACAGGTTTTACATCATGATTCTAACACGTTTAAAGGAGCAACTTCTGGTAACAAATATACAAAATATAAATTAACAGCTGTATCAGGTCTCTGAAATGAATTCCAGGTTGACAAACCCAGTCGCATAGTGTCACCAGAAATTCCAAGATAGTGTGAATCTCTTGCAATCTTTATGCTGGTGTGAGCTATTTTCCAGGAAAACGAATTAACTGGAAAGACGACCTTTAATTTGTTTGATCTTGGTTTATTACCAAACACCATACCATTGGGAATAAAAATATGATTTTATGATGCAGTTATCATGTATATTTTTGATGTTTGGTCTTTATATGTCCAATACGATATTTCTATCAACTAAAGGTTAAAGGGGTGTTACTACGAAATATTACTCTTTTGGCTTAATGAGGCGATCCCAAAAACAAAAATAAAAAATACCCCTAAACCAAAATCCATATTATCAAAAGAAGTTACAAAATATAATCAGCAATCAGTGCTCAAGGATGCTCATATTCAAATAGGTATGTGGATTTCCTGAAATAACGCTCATATAGCTCTTTACATTATTAGCCATGCAGAATCTGCCAACAAGATGCTTGCATAGGCTACAAAATAGACATGAATAGTTTCCGAATTAACTATTAAAACATTATTAACTATTTGAGCTCTGTGAAAGGGGTGGCTAGTTGGCATACTCAAATAAAGTTTTTTTTTTATGTGAACGTTATGAAAGTACGCAGTTGTTAGTGACGATGTAAAGATGATTCTATTATCAGACTAGGTTCCTTTAAAGAACTGAAGTACGTGACGATATGTGAATGGATCTATTACCAGGTTAGGTTCCTTTAAAGAAAGGAAGTATGTGACGATGTATAGACGGGTCTATTACCAGGCTAGGTTCCTTTAATGAAAGGAAGTACGTGACGATATATATAGATGGATCCACATGTACTACCAGGTTAGGTTCATTTAAGATAGGAAATATGTGAAGATGTATATAGATGGATCCACATATATTACCAGGTTAGGTTCATTTAAGAAAGGATAGGAAGTACGTGAAGATGTATATAGATGGATCCACATATATTACCAGGTTAGTTTCATTTAAGATAGGAAATACGTGAAGATGTATATGGATGGATCCACATATATTACCAGGTTAGTTTCATTTAAGATAGGAAATACGTGAAGATGTATATGGATGGATCCACATGTATTACCAAGCTAGGTTCCTTTAAGAACGGAAGTACGTGACGATGTGTAGGTAAGAATGAAACGAAGCAGGTGGAAGAGAGATAATAATGGAGAGAATTAGTAACAGATATTTTCTATCAAATTATACACAAGTCTGCACATGCATGTTTACTGTCAAAACACACCACTACACGTTTTCACGTTTCTCTTCAACTTTCTTTTATAGTCAAATTACACTTTTCTGTGCAGTGCCGTTAAAAAGATAATGAATTACTCTAAATATTGGCTTATACTTTTCGGTTTGCTGAAGTAATAGTTCAAAATGAAAGTCAGGTGAAATTTTCACTACGCAAACGTGGTGCACGTGCTTTTAACTCTTTTGCTCAGATAAAAATAAAATACAGGTCTGTGTTGTTTTGCACGTGCATTGACCTTGAAACATATCATGACTGGTTGATGAGGACTATAGTTTGGTGAAGGAAAATCTTTACTTTGTTTGCTGGCACTGGCAAAAGTACGTGTGAGTTGAAATGTGTAGCAACAGAGTTCCCAATACTTTCGTTCCATTAGATCAAATATTCATAAAATAGTAGGACGTAAACCTCAATTTAATGTTAATAACGCAAAGGATGCAGAACAGTAAAACGTAAAAAAAAACCAATTTATTTCATTAAAATTGTAGCACTTAAACCCATTTTGATTTGATCAGTCAATCCGATGCGATGTACAACATAAAACTCCGTCCATTTAAAAGCATTTAGCACAATCAGGTGCAGAACATTATACTGTATATAGATGGTAATATCATCAAACAGGGAGTGCACAGTAATGAAACTGTCACGATATAAAAGAAAGGTACTGGTTGACCTAGACTAGTAATGAGTAGGTACGATCAATAGGAGCCTAATTAAGAACAAACGGAACACGACGAAGGTTGAGTCGGTACAAAATATTTAATATTCACTTTATATATCGTACACTTGTTATGTCAGCATTCAGAAGATCGATATTTAAAGGAGCAATATCTCAAATATTGGAGTTCAATATTTCAATGTTTTGCTGATAAATTGGCTTAACTCGCACGCTATTAAGATTAAGTTTATTTGTGTGGTCCTTAAAATCGACATAATAATATGTTGAGTAATTCTTATCAGAAATGAGTATCGTGAACTGTTTTGGGTGGTCGATTTTTATGACTATAATAGTTTTGACTATTTATGGTTAATTGTAGATTTAAAAATAAGTATCAGGCGATTTCTTTAAATAACGCTGATTTACTGATCACGATACTAGTGCATTTTTTAAATTTTATACATCAAAAGACTTAAACGTTTACTTGCCGTTTTGGACTAGACCGGAAACGTGCAGTGTGCAATAAGTTAAATTTTGGCAAGGTTAGCGCATTCCCCTTGTATAGTCGGGGGATCCTTAATATTAATATGACACAAAGACAACGTGTACGGAAAGTCTGGGTATTTAATACATGGTTATTTTTTCAAAACCTGATATATAACTTCCCCTTCAAATTACTTATATAAGCAGTAGACTAACCAAGACCAAAACAAATAATACTTTGGCCTATATATGCGCATTTAAAATTTGCTATGATATTATAAACAGTTTGCATCTACATTCCTTAAATTTCTCCGACAATGCAAGCAATTTGACATTCCTGTCTAATTCATTTTGAAAATCATTAAAAATTCCAAACGCTCTTTTTACTAGAGGAAATAATTATCGAGGTGCAATCACATCTTTTCATGTTCAGATTTAATTAGGGGGTCATGTGGTCAAGCATTTTAGTCGCACACGAGATGAAGATCTTTGAGTAAAAAATACAGATTTGTTGCCGAATTTGAAGGAGGTACTCATCTGGAATAAATTAACTTTATTTATCTTTTACTATCAATTAATTTTCTTTCCCAGTGGTGCTCGTGCGTCGTTGGAGATTAATTTTTTTAATTATCAAAGTCAAAATATTGGTGCAATCTGAATTTTGAAGTTAATGGGATGGAGTTGGGGTGGATGGCACACTTAACTGTGACTCAATGCTACAGTTTTTGACTGAAAAAGCATGGGTTAAAGTCACTATATCAATTAGAAGCCGAACATAAGGATCATTTCATTTTATTTTTCATTAAAGTCTGTTCAAAGAGAGACAGACGTCAAACAAAATTTGAACTCGGAAATTTCAACGTGTACGTTTTCCGTTTTACTACAACTTTCCGTAATATTATATATTACACCGGAAGTTCATATTACTTTGTTTGTCTTGCCGGAAGTGACGTTGGCTATCGTCTAATGACTGACCAATGATTGATCGTACAGAAAGAAAGAGTAGGATTTTTGGGGGGTTTTATGCGGCCAACAGTCTGCTCAGTTAGACAGTTTTGCTTTATATTTAGGTTAGGAAAGCCAGGTGCTAAAATTAATAAAAATAAAAGAAATGTGCGCCTTACCTTATCTAAACTAGTGTTACTATAACTGAAAGAAATATAACCAAAATGAGTTATGAAAATAATGTGCCCGATTATCACGTTCGCATTGATTCAAACACTCTATATGGCCTATGTCTTTTAGGCTACACATAGTGATAATAACATTGGAAGGGGTATCAAATTATATGAAAAGGCCAATTTAATAAACCCCCATGTCTAATGTCTTAGAAGACAGTGTGATTTGTTTTTCAGGCCCAATTGAGTTATTCGGTTGGTACTGGACACAGACCTTTTGTGGTTTGAGTTGTTCAGCTAAGGGGAAACAAATGTATATGGGAATGACTTCAGACTACACTTGCTTTAGTTTCCAAATCTGCTATTATAGCTCGCCTCCAGACATGTTGCCAAATACACTGATAGTGAGTGGCGTGAATTTTATACAGTGTTTACAGATTTAAGCATGTCTAAATAGTCAATTGTTTTTTGTTCTAGCTTTCTGTGTCACCGTTTAGCATACATTTATTTAAGTCCCATCTACGGGCTGTCTACCATTACTCAACTCGCGTGATTTCAATCAGTAATTTGAAGTTTTGATTTGAATAAAATCTAGAGAATCTTTCTTCCGGATTTGTAGGAATGTTAAGTTTTTGTGTTTTATCTGTAGGTTATTACACGGGCCATCTTGATCTGATGAAATCCCCTTTTATATCATGTTCAGTCGAAATTAACAGTGCTAAGAGTGGGTAAAGAATAATAATATCTCAGAATTTTCCACTCAAAGAAATCATTTATTGTAGCCTACAGAACATTTGTTGAGTATTATAGGGTCCAGAACATGTGATGCATCAAACTTTCGTCAGATAATGAATACCAACTGGAGTCACTCACAGAAAAAACACGAAATGACACATCGAGATTTTGTGATAAGATCGTTTATCCCTGAAATGTGTCAGTTTTCTTCCATTGAATGTTTTTTCGTGTTAAAAGACTTGCCATTAGGCATTGTTGCGAATCTTAAGTATAAAATCCATTATAAGTCACAGATTTATTGTTACTGTACTAATCATACACACAATCTACCAGCTAGTCTAACACTTTCTGAGGAGTGGAATCAGTCTCATATATTGTCAATTATTCTCGAATCGTGAAAGGTCTGACCATGTGGAATAGGATCATAACAATAGGAATTATTTGGATTGATGATCAACGGAGCAGGTAAGCAGATGGACTAGGCTACGTCCCTATCCATTAATATGTAACACTTTTATTACTACGTTATGCGAACGTTGTTGAAATACGACTGGTTCAAAATTATGTGAGGTCCAAACATCGAGCTTCTATGTGCTATGCTATGCGATACGTTAAGTTGTGCAATTTTATGCTATGCTATGCTACACTATGTCGTTACATTGATTGATGTTGCCTGATGTCTGGTTTCGATTTCAGAATCCACCAATACCTCTGTTATAACAACCCAAAAGGAGCACGTGTATGTTCCTCTTCTGGATCACGAAGTAGACGTCAGGGGTGTGGATTTCATCACATTTTACGTCAAGACTTGTTCCGACGTCCATGTTGGTATAGCCTCGGAAGAAAGTAACTTTCAATCTAAAATGTATGTTGTTATGATTGGAGGGTCGTTTAACTCCGTATTTTCTATAACGAAATATGAAAAGCATAATTCGACTCGACTTGCACAAAGATATGCTTCATATTTGAACTGTAATGCCTACCTAAAATTCAACATAAGTTGGACTGGAGGAATTATGAAGGTGTTTGCTTCAGATTCGCTAATTATGCAAGGTGAAATTGGCATGAACAAGTTCCCGATTAATTACCTTGGCATTAGTACTTGGAAATACCAAATGGGCAACTGGATATTCGGTAAGAACTTATATTGATTTCCGTTCTGTGTAAAGGAGATTTAGTTGCAAGAAGTATCGACCGAAGTAACTCTCACATTCAGATAGGCATACATGTATTTTCAAGGCGTCATAGAAGAATGTTAATAACAATCCGTGTTCGTTTTGTTTTTTACCAATTTGGCATTAGTGTTTAGTTTTGGAAACATCTGGCATTTATTTTTATACAATTTGAGTTTTACGTTCTAATTTTCTTAGTTTTTAGCCTTGATAAAATATACCAACTGTGAATGCAATAGAGATATGTTCAATTTCAGAAATACCTGAATCTTTGGCAGCAACATCAAAATTGTTATCGTACTACTCGGTGACGTCACCTTACAGTTATCTTCCGCTAGCAACAACCCCAGTGACGTCAACAGAAGAAACAGTACAAACCTTTTCTGATTCAATATCATCATCTTACCAAATTACATCATTTGAATCAATATCTAAATTTGATACGGTGATGCCATCGGAGGGCACACGTGCGTCATTTGACTATGCATCACCACCGTACTTCATGACGTCATCGGAAAACCTGCAAACGTCACTATTTTCATCTGTTACGATGATGCCAATGGAAGGTCTACATAAATCAATATCAACATTAGAAATGGTGATGTCATCCGAAAACCTACAAGCGCCATTTGACTCTACATCATCAGGGCACCAAATGGCGTCATCTAAAAATCTACTAACGTCGTTCAACGCAATATCGTCATTTAGTACGATGACGTCATGGGAAGGTGGAATACAGACGTCAAGAATTAGTAAGCAGATGACGTATTTACCTGAAGGGGGAAATAGCTGTGTATGTTTTTGTGACAACCTGACCAAATCAGACAATGTGAATGAACGCATAACAGAGATACAAAAGGAATTATTTGTCAGTCGCCAGAATCTATCGGCAACCACCCGACGGTATATTAGTGTTTCAGACAATAGACCCAGTGCAGTTTCCCTCGGTGTAACAGGTATTGTTTGTCTAGTGTGTCCCTTATTCCTTGTTGTCATTATGCCAGATTTTCTCTCTTTTATAATATATATGAACAATAGGTTTGGTATTCCGTCTCCTTAATTGCGAGAATGTGCAGTAGACATATATGTAATTTTAAAAAAAATAATAATTCTGTCCTAAAAAAGTATGTTTCAATGAAAGACAGGCTTAGAGCTTCGAAAGAAAAGTTTAAAGCTTTCATGAATTGAAACACGACATATCTGCCATGGAAACTGCCGTAATGAAATTTTCTAGTATTCCCTTGGAGATTAATCAGACAAAAGGTCTCGCCTTGAACCATATGAAATGTTTTTTTTTTTTTTATTGCACGGAATATTATACATTTGAATATTTTATTGTTTAATCGATTCGATTTTTTTTCTCAATTATTCTCTTATGTAGCCTACGGGCCTACATCTTTTGATTTTTGATCTTCTGTTTTTTATAACAAAATTATTAAAGTGTCTCGTAGACAATTAGAATCTAGTGCTTCTCAATCAGGGTTCATGTGCAATCCCACGGGTTAAATGCTCGGGTGAAATCTAGAAGGTGGTGATGGAGGTTAGGGGTGTACTGTATATTGGATATGTAGTTAGTGTTTAAATGTTCTAAAGTTAGCTCCAGATTAAACATCTCTTGTTCAAGAAGAACACCAAGCACACAGTTCTACTGGACAGGGGTCTTGACATCTTCATTGCCTATTATTTGTGATTCCTCATTCTTCAGTCATTATGGTTCATTTTACGCCCTGCAAAAAAGAAAAAAAGCTCTATCAATAATATAATTCATAATATACTCTGTGAACTGCAACTTTAACGAATTTACACTTTATTGTTGAGGATGACTGAAGACAAGCAAAGTCATGCCACACGCCTCATAAATAAAATGAAACGAAATTTGTTTATCACTTATCGTGTTTGTGAACTCGTGAGTCGTTGAACTTTTCTCAAATTTCTGAAATCAGGACTATATGAAGCATTGTTGCATTATTAAACAACTTTCGTTTCAAACTTCTTTAAGAAGATTAGACTACTAGTCTAGGTTATATATTTTGGCAAAAGCCACAATATGCGTGACAGTGAAATGCGGAATCATTGTGTGGAAGTTAAAGCGTTATTTGTTTGGTTTTTTTTAAGTTTAAATTTCCCAAATTCCAAGTCGACGAACTATGATCGGTTGGTAGGCGCCTATCACTTATCAGTCGTGTATTCAGGCGCACATGAGGGGTAGGCCTATCTTTAACTGAGAATTAATTTACCAATTAACTGATTAGAAGGGGATAATCTGATGTCATGTTAATCTGTCCTAATCTTTATTGCCTACAGATGGTAGATTCCTTTGTTCACAGCTTCATATTGAAACTTGATATGGTTCCTTTAAAATTACCTTATAAGGGCATGATACACAGAGTTATCTCCCATTATGGCATATAAACAAACGACAATAAAATCTTTTCCATCAATGAAAAGTTGCAGTCTCTTGAACGAGGTCCATTTCTGAATTGCCAAGACAACGTGATTTTTCGTACAAGAACCAAATCTTCGTAATTTCTTCAGTATTTTTTGTAATATTGCCAACTTCTCAACTCTTCTATAGTCTTCTAGAAGGTACGAAAAGTCTTACTTCCGGTTACTTAGACATGTGAGAGAATATCGTAGTTCCTGACATTTTATAGAATTCTAAGGAACCGAAAACCTCATCAAGGTATATGGATACACTTTTTGAATAATTTTGACTTCAGTGGTGATAATTTTACGTTTCAGTTTCAATTCTTTTTATACAGACATGAAAAAAGAGATCGCAATGGTGAGGGGTGAACTAATTTTTGGTTAGATTAAAAAAGTTTGCATCTTTGAATTAACTTTTTATCTTGGAGGAAAAAAAGGGTTGTTTTATGTAAAATAATGCAGATATTGGGAACCCCTTCATTTTTGTACAGAAAATTATTATGGAGTTTAGGAGCCTAGATCGATCTTAATAAATGATTTTATTCCCAAAATTATAGGAATCCCCATCAAAATATGTAAGGAGGTGCCAATGCTATTTATGCCTTTGATTGCTAGAATTGTAATGTTTTTGTAGATGGGTGATAGTACTGTATTAAAAGAGGAAGGGAACCAGTATTTTAAATCAGGAGAATTGGACAAAGCGTTAGCTAGCTACACTAAAGCTCTAGAGATCCCTAACCTCAAAGACTCAGAAAAAGCTGTCCTGTATAAAAACAGAGCTGCAGTTTATTTAAAGAAAAATGATTTTGGAAATACTATCAAAGATTCTAGTGCTGGTAAGATGATTTGTTTTTGATGTACTGGTACTTCGAAAAAATACTGTGGAAAAAACTAACTTTCTGTACCGTACCTCAGAATTTGAAATTTTTTTAAAGCTTTAAATTATTTAAGAGAGGCAACATATTACTATTGCCTGTGTTATGATTTACATCACATGAATTTATTTTAGAACTTTTTAGTGGGTCCTCACATCTAATATTTTTTATTTGGCTTATTGATAATGATTAACATATCTTTTTTCCAGCCTTAGATCTGGCACCTAATGATCCCAAAGCTTTATTCAGAAGATGCCAGGCATATGAAAGTTCGGGAAAACTTGAAGAAGCGTTCCGTGATGCTGCCTTATTAATGAAAGTAGATCCTGGAAACTCAGCTATTGTTCCTACATTTAAACGATTAAATCCTGTCATTCAACAAAGGGTAGGTAGTATATAGATTCAGTTTGCATTCTGAAATTCAGAGAGTCCGCTTGCTATTTTTTTAGTAATTTTACCCCATTTTTGCTCAAGTTGATTATCATTCTATGATGACTCAAGTTGCAATGATTGACGTGCGATTTTCCAAGACCCCTATTTCTAAGTCAGCTTTAAGCAATAAAACAGATGTCAACATGTTTTCATTTTGAAATAATTTTTTAGGTAAAAGAACAGAACAGTATGACAAATAAAGTGACTCAGATGTTTAAATTCGCTTTTGATCCAGAATGTGAGGACAAAGAAAAGAGAAAACAGGTAATGTACCATTTTATTACAGCAGATTAGATGACCGAATATTGATAGTAGGTTCAAGGGTCTGATTGATAACACCATTAGCCAATCAAATTTTTCCCCTTTCCAGCTCTATGATTGTGTGAAACACAAAAGGAAAAATAGACTAGTTTATCAAGCCCACCAAACTGAACAATGTGCCGATCAATGTTGAAACACGCTTTTAACCCTTTTTGGCCCTCACTGGAGTAGTTCAGTAAAACTAAAAGCTGATCAATATGGTGCAAATTGAAGTGATTTTTAGTGTCATTGTTCCTTATATATTTCAGGCAATCAATAACCTAATCGTACTTAGCAGGGAAGGGGCCTCAGCTAACATGATCTGTAAATATAACGGAATAGAACGTGTGAAAACATTACTGGATGATAAAGACTGTGCTATGATGGTGGGAGGTGTTCGTATTCTTGCCTGTCTTGGTAAAGAAAGCGAAGAAAGAGTAAGTCATTTCCATTATCTTAAAAAAAGAATGTTTGTCGGTCTGGTAATTCAAGAGTTCCCATCTCCATGAAATGAATAGACAAATAGCGTTTTGGATTGTTGTCTGCTGGACAAAAGTTGCTGTGGACTCAATTGAAAGACTGGTGCAACTTCCAGTGCTTACAAAAATCAGCCTGATGGTCAGCTTTAAACCCTTATCATCTATAGTACTTTAATGTGATGTTAGACTTCTAATAACTCCTTTCAAATTTCATATTACTTGGATTATAATTTCAGTCTAGAGAGATCATTGATAAAATAGGTGTACAGAAAATAATGTCCTTGATGGGAGTGAACAATGAAGAAGTCTCCACGTCATGTTGTCATCTTCTACAGAATTTAATGACTTACGGTTCAGAGTTTGATAAATTTACTGAACGTTTAAAAAAATATAAAGAAGATAAGAAGAAAATGGAACATGTTGGACCTTATCCTTATTTTCAACCAGGTGTGATATAAATTTACTTTTAAAATCTGTTGGAGAGATCAATATAGAGAAGTTTGGTCTGACAGGATTCTCGTGAACTTTGGATGTTATTTTTGGATAACTCAAGTTGTCCTTGCAATATATGGATCTTTCTTTCTTATATCATCATAATGACAGTATAAATGGTGAATTTAACATCTTTCTTCCCATGCTAATGTTATTGACATGAGCTCTTTTGACACTGTTTCAGATAAAACACCCTCATCAGGACTGATCGCTTCTGTATTTTGGCAGGCTTATAAAGCATCCTGTGTTTCAGATATTTAGTATTCACCTTATTTTATATTCTTAAACATTTTGACATGATTTGGTATTATATTACTGAGCTGTAAAGTATATTGTCTCTACATGACCTTTTGAAGTTGACCGTTGATTTTGGATGTTTGTTATTTATAGATGAATACAGTGAGAAATATATAGATGAAATATTTTATACCCTCATCAAAATGTTGATAAATAAAAAAGTGTCTGGTTATGGCCGTGATTCAGCCATGGAGATAATGATTAAACATATTGAAAGATTGGATGGTATTGGCTGGATGAAAAAATTCCTCGCGACAGAAGGTATGATATTAATCTTTTAAAGGATTTAGTAATCTAATTATTATTTAGCTATGTGTTTAGACCATACCATTATATCATTTGGAGAGAACCATTAAAATTAGTTTAATTTCAATTTCTGATAATAAAATGTTTTTAATGTATGTATTTAGGTATTGAGAATTTGTTAACGGTAGCTGGAACATTAAAAGTGCACAATACCATCCCAGTGACAGAGCATTCGAGAATGCATGCATCTGTTGCGTTGTCTAAAGTTTGGGATGACACTATGAGTGACAGAGAAAGAGAGATTTTTAAGGACAAATGTAGTGACTATTTCAAGTAAGTTAGAAGAAAGATTAGCTTTTGTAGAATGCCTTCTTCAAAATATCAATGAAATACGAACTTCATCTTATGCCTTGACTGCAATAGCCACTATTTTTCACAGAATGCAGTGATTTGATTTGATTGTATGCCAGGTAAAACAGTCAGTTAGAATGGTCTGCCTTACTCTTCTGAACCTTAAAGAAATTTTGTTTACATTTCCATTGTTTTATTAACATTAAAAAGATAGACATTTAGGATGTGGGATCAAATCAAACACTTTTAGCAGCCCATGTATTAAAAGAATAATGCACCAAAATCATACCGATAACTTACACTCAAAGATAATAATTAACTTGGTAACCTTGTGATGTTGCTGTAGAGCCACAGTTAATTCCTAATATTTATTACAGAGACTTGTTTACAGATGAAATTATGGAGTCCAAAATCGAAGCTGTGGAAGCCATTTCTACTCTTTTACAAGTAAGACATCAATCTTAGTTTGCATTTTGACTTTTGTCCAGTGACTTCTTTAGACTCACACTTTCTATTATCTAAAAAGATATGTATTATTTATCATTACTTGGTTCACCATTTTTATATTGGCCCAATTTTGCAGGGTCCATATGAAGTTGGAAACATGATAATTGGTGCTGAAGGAGTGGTTCAGTTGATGTTTGCCCTGGCCAGTAGTGAGAACCCTTTACATCAACGTATTGCAGTGGAGGCTATTGTACACTCAGCATCCAAAAAGAATCGATGTTCAGGTATATTGAAAGAGGCAGTGCCAATCTTGAAGAAGCTGTATCAAACTGGTGAAGATGAAACTAGAGTCAGAGCTCTTGTGGTAAGTTATAGAATTATTCCCCTTGAAAAAATAATCGCGATACATCGGCCCGATTCTCATAAATACAATTAACTCCCTTTAATGACTAATAGCACGGAATCCTCACGTATTTTAGAAATTGTGTCATGCTCAAATGTTGAAAAATTGCTTTTCACGTATTATTTTGTCTTCAAAAAACGATATGCCAACGGGAAGATAAACGCATGGAATCTGATTATAAACTTTTCTTTTTCCAACGTAATATTTGTTTGCATAGTCATGAAATAATTCCACGAAGCTGTATTCGATGGTTTGATATTTTATTTATTTTTTTTGAAAAAATTTGTTAGTCCTTGTTTGTAACAAATGATGAAAAGTGAGTTTTGTACTTCTAAGCGTGCCAAAATAATTTAAACTGTGTTAAAATATTATTAATTATCAGTTTTCTTTTTCTTTCCCTTTTAATCAAAGAATCGCGATTTATTATCGCAATAAATCGTATCGTTGAACAAGTATCGTTCAGTGTATCAGATCGCCACTTTAGGAATCGTTGCAGCCCTATTGATTATCCTTTGTCCTTGTATGATATAGTCAAGAATTTTATCTTTCAGGGTTTATGTAAACTAGGAAGTTTTGGAGGGACGGATGCCACCTCGAAACCAATGGCTGATGGATCAACTTTGACCTTAGCCAGAGTCTGTAGAAAGTAAGTCTGAATAGGATACAGTTGTTTGTCGAAATTAAGACTGTTACCCATGTTTCTTGGGGGAACTCAACACCCTTTTCTGAGTGTCCATATTTTGTCTTGGTTATTTTTTTGTGATACTTGTGGTCTTTGAGCAGAATTTGGATATAAAACTCCATTTAAGTTGAATAATATTGATAGTTTGTTCATATTGTAATGATTTTTACAGTTTTCTGAAGAAAGCAGCGTTTGATATGAGAAGATGGGCAGCAGAAGGCATGGCCTACCTGTCATTAGATGCTGAAGTGAAAGAAGAACTGTTAGAAGATGCTGAAGCTATTGAAGCTCTCTTTGATGTGGCTAAGGTACTATCAATATTATAAGATCCATATCCCAAAATCTTATGTTCAAAATGATTTCAAGATAAAAATTTGTCCATAGTTGTCAAACCAGACTTAATTTCTGATTATTTTTTGTAGAAAATTGAGAAGAATAGAGTATATGCTACTATAACAATATTTGTTAACCTAACTAACAGTTATGATAAACCTGATATTATGCCTGAACTTATAGAAATGGCTAAATTTGCTAAACAACATGTCCCTGAAGAACATGAAAAGGTGGACTATTTTTCATATTTATACTCACTGATTTCTCAATGTCCTCTGCTCTAAAGTTTCTAACGCATTTTGATATACCTTGTACACGTAAAAACCTGAAATGAAGATCAAGTTTGAATATTTCTAATGAAATTATTATAATTGTAGGATTCTAGTAAATATCTTACAGCCAGGATTCAGAAACTAGCCAAACTAGGTGTTGTCAATGCTTTAGTTGCCATGGCTAGAACAGACAGTAAGGGCAGCCGAGAATTACTTACAAGGTAGGTCTCACTTGATTTTAAAGAATGAGAGATTTATATCTGAGAAACTCATTGATTTTGTTTGAAGTAATTCTAATGCAGGAGAATAAAGATGTTGAGATAAACGCTAGTCTGTGGCTCTGTCTGCATGTTGAAGATCCTCAACTGTTGGGAGAAGAAATATACGCAAATTCGCTTCATTGTTGGTTATGGTCTTATGTCTTTTGTTGAGTAAATTCTCCTGAAGTTCTAGTTTTGGAAATTGAACCCCATTTCCAAACAAATTTTCTTAATGAAGACTTTATGGTCACCAGTGGTCAATAAGATATGGGATTTAATCAATAATATTACAAGAAAAAAGGATGTAAAACTCCATTCCATTTGTTGATTATTACAGAGTGTACATGGGACTGGCTACAGAAGAAAAATTACGAGGGTTAATAGTCCAGCAAGGTGGCGCCAAGGTAGAAAATCTTTTCTGTTCTTGTAGTCTTAGTAAATTGTCAGATATGACTGTATTGTTTCTGTCTCTAGCTATGAACAATCAAAGTGTAAGGTAAGGTTCAGGTAAACTGGATTCCTTTTGTGTACACTTATATATAACTAAACACAGGTGTCTTTGGATTTTATTTAAGCCCACTTATGCTAAGGTGAATGAAGAGAGAAATGGTATGTTAAATAGTTGTTTTATTCATACTGATTCATGACTTTTTTTCTCATTTTCAGAGCTTACTACAACTGGTAGAAAATAATACAGAAATTGGTAAATGTCTAGCTGCTCATGCATTAGCTAAGATAGCTGTTACCATGGAACCACAGACAGCCTTTCCAGGACAACGCGTAAGTTGATAACATAACTTAGAAATGAAATGTCATGAGGTTTAAACCTTACTCTACTGCTCATGATTGGTTCAATGAAAATGGCAGACATTATGCAGTGTGCAATGACTCATTTTTTAACTGAGGGACCTGTAATGTGCTTTTCCTGTAGTAAACAGGACATAATGTATGATCTTCCCTCCACTGAATGATCAGACCTAAATTTTAAGGATAACTTTAATCCTGTTATCTGTTTCTTGTCTCTTTATAGATCTATGAGGTAGTACGGCCATTATTAACCCTGTTAAAAACAGAACGGTCCAGTCTACAGAATTTTGAAGCTCTTCTAGCTCTGACTAATCTAGCATCACATTCAGACTCTGTTAGGTGAGTTTACTTTTACTTCATAGAGGACTTTCTGGAATTTAAACGGAAAAGTTATGCTTTCACTTTGAATTTGTTTTTTTTCTGATTCTTAACCAGATAATTTATTGAAATTGACCTTTACTGATGATGACTGTTATATTTGAAGTGTGTGCATTGAGAGTCTAATTTAAGTCTATATTTTGATAAATACAGTTATATGATTGGCTAAAAAAGCTAGATGTATAATCAGTTTTGTAATTAAACCAGTTATAATTACTGAAACATTAAATCTTACCAGTTGAAAAGTATGATTATCTGACTGATTTCATTTAGAAATTTGATTAGTGCAACACTAAAATCATAAAAAATAAAGGTTTTGAGAAACTTACTCCTGCTCAAAATTTCTGTTAATGTTCCATGATATTATTTACAGGAATCGTATTATAACAGAGAAAGGGATAACAGCAATAGAACAGTATATGTTTGAGGAACATGAGAAATTAAAATTGGCTGCTACAGAATGTATGTGTAATATGGTTATGAATGAAAAGGTATTGACTATCTACTTTTTTTTTTTTGTAATATTTCTGAGGTCGCGATCGATCTGTGATTTAAATGCTTGCTCGCTAACCTGATGCTCCAGGGTTTGATTAGGTCATTGGTCAAGATAATACATTTAAATTTTTCAACTAAGTTTCCCCCGGTCAGTGATACTGATCATAGGGGCTAACATGTAAAAGGGTTTGTTGATGAAGTTTCTGCCCTGGGTATGCTACAGACTATGTAAGTTGGGTTGAAAATCATAAAAAACAGTGCCGATTGTACACTTCATAGTAATGGCTGTTATTTCCTTAGCTCAAACTAGAAAGCCCAATGATTCACTGAAAAATAATAAGAAGAAAAACCATCCACTGTCACTGCAGATAGCTCCTCTTTCAATGTATCAGTACCCTTTGGAGAAGTCAAGCTCTCCTGCCCTGAAATCCATTATATATCAATTATTCATAATTGAACATAAGTTTGACTCATATATCCATGTTATTACTAGGTAGTAGAGCTGTATGAAGCAGAAAATGACCGAGTTAAACTGATGTATTTATATTGTGGAGAGGAAGAACCAAAATTAGTCAAGGCTGCCGCAGGAGCAATTGCAGTGTTAACACAGAGTGAAATTATATGTAATAAAATTATAAATGTAAGTAGACTTATGTTGCTGTTCTTGCAAAATTTCCATCATTGCACACTGAATGGTGTTCTCTTCTTCTTCTTTAGTTTGATCAGGTCTTTAAATGTAGGACATAATTGCATTTCTTTGTTTTTCTTTTTCTTGTATTTGGGCCTATTATGAGAATGTCCTCTAAATTGAAATGCATATGTATGAGACAACTTGATTGCTATAAGATTTTAACAATATTTAGAAGTGAGGAGTACATATAACAAACACAAGACAATATTATATAATAAGCACACTTCTTAATATTATTAATATTAAACACATAAAGTTTAACACGTGTCATCATCAGATTATCATTGTCGCCACATGTAACTGTCATGGTTTTATACTTTAATTCTGTACTATTTCAGATTCAATGCTGGTTGGAAGTTCTGCAAACTCTGGTAGCCAATGAGGATCTAGACATTCAGCATCGTGGCTGTTACATCGCTTACAATATGGTCAACTCCAGTCAGAAAATAGCCGAAAAAATCTTTGAGAGTCAACTGTTTGAGATTATGATGGCAGTGACGAAGCTTGAACAACAGGAACGTGCCAGATCTAAAGAACTTTGTGAAGATGCTTTACAAAAGGCTGTAGAATATGGCATGGTCAAACCAAGGATTGAGGATTAGAGAGGCCAATATTGGTCTGTAATCAAGGGTTGCATGTTAAAATGGACTTTGAAACCCTTTTAGATCATTTGACATCATACTTCACCAAAATGGTAGAAACTCAGATTTCATGACAAAAATGCATTTTAGATTGATGGTTAAATGGAACAAAGCAACGTGCAAAATATCAGTTTGGATTGATGGCTAAAACACAGAAGAAGGAAAAGTGCCTATCAGCAAATTTTAAAGATATCGAGATTGATGGTTAAAATGTAAAAGAAAGCAAAGTGCAAATTAGCAAAGACTTGTGTATGGGGAAAAATTCATTTTGCATTATTCAGTAGATAAATCAATAACTACATCACTTGACATTAATCATACTGCTGTTGAGATCAAAATTTTGTGCAATAATTTCTTTTTTCCTCAAGTTTTTATCATTTTGTGAATGAACTAAGGATCTTCGGGCAGAGAAAAACTTGTGCCTTTTTAGATCTGATGCAGTTTTCAATATTTTCATACTATTTGTAAATTAATGAAAATTTTATATCTTGATATTCCATCCATGTACATATTCCAAATTGTTTTATTTATAAATTTATTTATTTGTCAACATCTACTTAACCTTAATATAATTTCCCTTATTGCACACAACTTTTTGCATTGTGTTCTTTGTCCTCTATTTTACTTAGTAATATGTAGTACTTCCTTTTCAAGAGCACTAGCAAGTAATTTGTTTAGTACTTTTTATCAAAATTACTTCATTGTGCAATGCATGATGTTGCCTCTTTTTAAACTATCTTGTACATTGTGTAATTAAGCTATGAATTTTGTAATTAATGTATGAGAGTGTTTCCATTTCATTTTATAGATCAGAAAGATTGAGAAAATAAAAGAATATACTTGACTAATTAAGTTTGTTGTATCTTTACTATTGTATTAATTGGGTTGAGCCGTTTCAAGATTAAAATGTGGTAATCAATCCACTTAAACTCATCTGATAAGCCCCTATATATAGTTGTCGGTCAATTTTCTACTGTGGCAGATTCTATCAGATGTTTTGAATCGCCAGTTGATCTTTTCTCACTTTTAGATGAATGCTTTTCAACATTGTTGATTTGACGTAGCATTTTATTGTATAGGTGATTGGGTCTGTAAAAATACTTGAATGTTACGTAAATTATTTTTTCAAATATTACAGGATTATGTTGTTTCCACTAACCTTAAAATTGGAAACTATTTCAATTCTAGGCAACTTTATGCAGGCAATTTACGATCCTATATTTTATGCATAGCCGATCAAAAAACAAGATTAACTCCATTACGGAATGGAATTTTATAGTGGACTTGGCTATAGGCTAGGCCTATTCCTGAGTTTTATTGCCATATCAACATCGCGTGAAGAATTCTATCGCCTTACCTCGTGAACTCGATCAATAGGCCCTACGTGATTATCTTCCATTCTGCTAGTATCGTCTGCTCGACTGTTTTCCTGCTTGAATATTCTCATCGTCTGCACTTCCGCGACATTTTTGTATCTGTATTTGTCTGCAACATTCCGATATTGGATCGTCTACTAGTAATATGGCTGATAGCGCGAAAAGAGTAGTTGCTATAGCAGTTGATGAAAGTGAACATTCCGATTTGGCCTTCGAATGTAAGTTAAATTTTTTTCACTATAGATTCTAATCCAGTATGTAATCGTCCGCAAAAATAATAATTTCTGATTTCTGAACAGAATGCAGTCGTTGGTTATCATTCCAAATATTGTGCACAAACCTTAGGGCATTGCGAATCTCAGAAGTAAACGAGCACGGTAGGCTAATGGCAGCACAGAATCGAAGTTTCTCTCGCCAAAATTAGATCACTTGAACTTTCTGGACCGTTAAAGAATCTGTACATTCTGTGATATTCTTGCCTCTTCCTGTAGTCGAGTAGGCAGGGAATTAACCAACACTCCCTTCGGTTATTAGCCGACGAAACCGGACGGGCTACTTACCAGGTCGATTACTTAATGCTCTTTTAAGTGAACTAAATGAAAAATAAATATGTGGACAGAAAGGGATGACTAGTTAACATGTAAGTGGAGGGGAATGCGAACGGGGTATTAAACTTTCAGTTCAAAATAGTTTAAATTATTTAATGAATGAATCATTATTGAAACGTAAATAAAAGCACGAAATCAAATACTTTGTTTGCATTTCACATTTGGTCATGTTGTCTAAAATGTCACTGCTGTGTAACTGTCATTCTATCGTTCGTATACAAACCAACACGTTTTATCTCAAATTTTAAAGTCGGGATACCAGATATTGACCAGAAGACGCTTATTCATTCTTTTTTCTTTGAATGAGAATTCTACCAGATTAAGTGTGTATAAATAATTGTGTAATTAAATAACTAACACACAACTTAGTATTATGGGTTATGATAGGCCTAAATTTGATAAATATCTAACGACGATTTTAAGAAATTGTTATTAAAATATAATTGTGTCCATTTATACATTCTCAGGGAAGTTGGAAATTTTGATTGTATGGCATTTATATGCAGTTCTGCATTTACAAAGAAATCTAATCTTCCAATGTGATGCAGTTAAAACGTCCATTAAAAGATATAGAATATAAAACTTCCTATAGCATGAAAATAACATATTATCCTACTATACTATCATATATAAATTGATATTAAACGAGCACCTGCTAAATATATCAAAATCATAAACAGAGAGCCTGTATTTATAACTGGTAATCTAGAAGATAAACTCTGGTGTTTCTTAAAGATAAACTTGGAATTTCCTACTAAAAAAATGATAGGCACCTTACTGTAATTCCGGTCAGCACGCAACGTTTGAATACTACAAACGTAGATTTATCTTGAAAAGGGAAACATTCAAAATTCACACTGATAATTCCCCAAGTTCTCGAAGATCCTGTCTACCAGCTGATTCTTATGTAAAATAATCAGGGATATAACGTGGGATTCTTGGGATTTTGTCAAGATCTTGGTATTGATCTTTCCTAAATTTTCTAGACTCAATGACAAGATACAAATTTATAGGATTTACAGAGGAGTTTAAGATGATAAATCCCTGCGTTGCACACTGCAACTATCTCCAAAGTAGATTAGTTGCGCTGGTAAATCAGTGTGGCAAATACGAACAGAAATTTGTTTTTATAATGACAAAGCGAATATAAAAAGAATTTCTTCTAAAGCAATTGATTAAGATTGACTTGAAAAATATAATTGAAAAAGTCATCAGTCACGATTATATGGATCTGGCAACTGACTAGAATGCTAGAATGACAAGACGAAATACAATTGATCTGAGCTTTAAATCAGTAGGTGGAATTATTGATGATTCAAAACAACAGATGTTTTTGACAGACTTTTAGATAGCCAATCTTCATACCAATCGTCTTGTTAATCTTGTGTTCAAAATTGTCCTTATCCACACTCCAATGTAAGACGTTCTTTTGTTGTATTAAGACAATAATCCTGAAAGTCATTTTTAATGCCAGCACCCTAACCAATCATCTTAGATTATTCGGAGGGGCAGGTGATATATCTAGAGGAGACAATGGGGTATAGTGTTCAGTTGCAGTAAATTCGTCGGTTATCAGAATTTTTTCAGGGGGAGTATACGAGCAACCTCTCTCGTATGTGAAAAAGGTGGGTTTTGGGTGGCAAAAATATCACCACCTTATTCGAATCTATGCATTTGCTAACAGTCAACCATCCATCTATTTGGAACGTGGTTTAAACCACTATGAGATCTCAGAGAACCCCACTTCCGGAAATCAACCGCTTCAAAAGTGATAGTTTTTTTTTAAATATGCTCTTAACTTAATTCATACACTCAGACTTCAATCAAGAATGTTTCTGTAATCTGGTCGTATGGTTTCTGCTGATTAAATTTTTTTTTCTGTAATGCCGACTGTAAATGTGTTCATATTTGATAAGATTTCTCTTTCTCCTTAGACTTAAGTTGTAATTGTGATTAGTCAGCCAGAAGGGCGTTTTTCGCTTGATTGAGACGAATCTTTGCGGAAATCTCGGATAAAAGAGCTTACATCGGCTATCAGCATCACTTTAAAGAAAATAAATTTTCAACGTTCAGTTCGTCTATAGGTATAAGGAGTCGTCACTTTCGCCAGGTCGTGTTTCGCAGTCACATTCAATTTGTCATTTGTCTTTGAATTTCTTAATGACGTACAGATTGGTATCTGAAGGAAAAAACCTAGCTTAAAAACTCAATTTTTTCTCTTAGGAATTATAGGCCCACTTCCTAACTGTCCCGTAGTAGACTAATGGCACTATCTAGGCAAAATTTACCACATTGCACACCATATAGCGTTGTTCGCCTTTAACTCAATAAGTAGGAGTAAGACTTCATTCGTTTCATTCAGGTTTCTCTAAGCTGCACTGTCTCTGCTACAAGATAATAATAAATGTCTTAATTGTTTATAAAGAGAAAATCGATAACCTTTTGTTAACATAGGAAGTAATAAAAACTTATACATAAATCTAATTTAACGCAACAATTCTTGATAAGATTGGCGCCAACCACTTTCCGTAACTGTTAGATCCGTTGTGTGGAATTGGCTCAAGCTCCGATAGCTTAGAATGTTGAGATTAGGTCCTCACTGGGATTCTATTCAAAGATATAATCAGATAGCACCTTCAGATGGCTCAGCTTATCAAATAAGCTGCTTTTTATTAGCCGAGAGGTGTGGGTGATGCTCGAAGAAAATGCTTGAAAATCGTCTTGTCTTCGGAAGAAACAGTAAAACGTGTGTCATGCTATATCTGCATCCACTGGAAGCGAACGTTGACGTCTACCAACAAACCAGTCACAAAATGGCAAAATTTCCATCATAGCTGACCTAGTCATGGTCTTAAAGCCTCCCCCCTTTCCTATCAATTCATCATATCCAGATGGCAGCATTGTGATCTATATTTACTGAAGTATCGTTTGATTTCAGGGTATTGTAAAAATGTCATGAAAAATGGCGACTTCTTGACATTGATTCATGTTCCCGAGTCATATGACTTGACTCTTGCCAGTAAGTATATTTTGATCTTTCTAAAGCTGAAATATTGTAATGATACTATTAAAGTCTTCTTAATTTGGAATACAATCTGATGAAGCTCAATTTTAACCATCCGTATCACTATTCAGAATACCAGTTCCAACTTGAGTTCGCTTACAATTTGATCGAAACGGAATGCGTAATTATCCTTAACAATTCAGAACAAATGTTTGTCGTTAGTGTCGTCTACATAAACGGAACGTAAAACTCTATTTCTTATCTATTTTCAGGCCCGGCTGTGGTTGAACAGCTGCTGAAGGAGGTGGAAGAAAAGGTCCAGAAAATGGAAGCCAAATATTCACAGAAACTCAAAGATCATAAGGTAATTGTCCATTGAAGGTATGGATTTGACCTTATTCGCATTTTCTATTTACAACGATACAGATCATCCGCACACACCGTACCTTTCTATTCGCACCTTTCATATACTCGTGCATTTTTTGTATGTCATCGGTAATATCTGATATCTACATGATTTTTATTCTGTGAAATGATACAGATCGATGAAAATAAATCTCTAGAGCCATGATAAAAATAATATATTTTGAAACAAACACATCCCTTTAAAGAGAGGAAACATCATTTGGTTTGGACGTCCAAACTATAGAATTAGATGTCATAATCTATAACTATATAGTTCTCGCCGGTCAAGGGGTAGATTATGTCACTGACATGTATCAATATTCACCTACATTAATGGTATAAGATATACCAAGTTTTCGGAAATAACTCCCTATAACATTTTAGTTTGTCTCTACAGCTTCCTGGTGTTGCCATGACAAATTTCCACTTGAGTTACTAAATGCTATTACTAACATCATATTTGCTAATTAATCAAAATGAAAGTAGATCTTGACACGATATGTTTGGAGCGCTGCTTATCTGCTACTCTCGTCCAGGGTATCTTCAGGATAGTAACATTTTTCAACTCGATTTTCTGATAAAACCTGCGTCGCTCAGTGAGTAAGATGCTTGTTAGTTAAACTGAATGTCAGGATCTGAATCAGAGAAATTCCTGCTTAAGTGATGGGGTGAAATGGAGAAAGCACCTTATTGTTGTAGGACAATTAAGAATACTAAGTATAACCAAAACTTCACTTATTCATTAAGACAGCTTCCTGCAAAGTTTCTCTTCAGTTCAGTTCAAATTTCGATATTAGAATTGTGCAGGTCATATACAATCGTTACACCAACTATATTTTACCCCCAGACACAGACATTAGTAATATAACCGGGTTCAATAAGACCTAATGAATCGTATAACAATACAACTGACATCTAAATGGCACTAATAAATCTGACCGGGGAATTCTGGCTAGAAACAGGGAATAACTAATTAACCTTATGTCAGTTCCAAGTCTCTTGGAGTCTGCCGGAATCGATAGAATATGGTAATAAAGGCTATAATATGCATAGTTAAGATGTTATCTTATATAGCATAATATGGAAATAGAATGAAGCTAGTTCTTGTTAATCTATCTTAAAGGTGCGGTCCCAGATGGTTTTTTTTGCTCAAGGTATCTTTGATTGTTTTAATGCTTTTTGAATTTGTATTCTCCGAATTATTTGGTCAGTGAATCATATATTTACTTAAAAGTTGCAATTGATAAAATCTTCAAATTATTTGTTTTGTCTTCGGATCAAAAAGTGAAATTTCGGCTATGTGACACTTTTTAGGATAAAAATTCGACTGGTGCGTCTTCAATCAAATAAAAATTTTGGCTGAATATCTAGGCCATTCTGAACATTGTTGGTACATCGTTCTTAAAGGAAGTCGTTGATAATAACTTCAATGAGAATGGTAATGTTTATATGGCAGACGAACAGACTATAGATTAGAGCTGAAAAATTGAGCTATATCAGCTGGTAAAGTAAATATTTCTATGCCAATATCCCTTTAAGTTAATTTTGATTATTGACATGGATAATGAAATATATTGATGAAAATCTGACGTCATTTTAGAATGAAGGTTATTTATTTTAATGATTTATTCGGTTCGTTTCAAACATAAACTATTTATTACCTTAACAAACTTTCTCAAGATTAAACTTCGACGAACAGAAATTTTCAGAATATATAAAAAAAAATTGATTTATAATAAAACATTGAATGTGCAATGAAGACTAAAGTTATAAAAGTTATAATATGAATTAATTACGTTGTGTAATCAATTAAAGGGATATAGTAGATTAATTTTGACTGATGATAAATTTCGGGTTCCCGTATCATTTTACAAAATTAAAATCTATTGTCATTTTCCTGTACAATTAAATTGTACCGAATGGAAGTGACAGCAGATTTATTAGATTTAGATCAATTGTACGCTGACCAGAAGTTGGAATTTCATTTTGAAATGTATTCCGGATATCTGAATAAAGTTTTATTACTTGATGGGGACCTATTAGGCTAATGCTGCTTTTTTCTTAATGGCTGGTAAAGTAAATTAAACGATTAGATCCCTTGTTTGACTAAAATGTCTGTAAAATGGCAGATTTATATTCTGGAAAGTGTTACGGGAAGCAGTTTTCAGCTGTTATTTATAACTAGACGGCCATATCCCTTTAATGACAAAAAGATGAGCAAAAATGTATTATGATATTTAATATTCGCTATAGTGAGCCAGCGTACATTGATTTTCTGTATGAAATAAAATGTAGCTGATATTTAGATTATTAATTAGATAAAGCCTGTAATAGAGAGTTGTTTAATATCATATTGATTACCAGTTAGAATATATATATTCAACCTTACCGCACTCAAATATTGGGTAGTAGGCGTAGCTTCCCATGTTTGAAAGTTCTGTCAGGTAAGGGACAGGTGGGTCATTTTTGGGTTGATTTGGGCCTTGAATATAATAATATTCATAAGCACTAGAAATGTACGAATATAGCGCAATTCCTTCAAAAATACCTCAAACTAGGAATTTCTCTTCCTAATTCAATCTAGTCTCAAGAAAAGACGAGTGGTCTTTTTAACTTTCAAACAGGATATATTCTAGACACACATAGATTTGAAGACTCAAATTTCGACGGTGAGCATTAGCTTGATTAGCTTAGCTATCAACTTTTCGTTTCTGAGACTAAGGTATGATTGATCAAAAAGATGACCTCTGTCCCTTTAAAAGATATTTTTTTAATCAATTGAATTACTGTATATCCGAAAAGCTGAGATCAATCTTAGTTAAAATTTTGTGGAACTACACAAGGGCTATTAATATTTGACGATAGTTTGATTATATATCTAGATATTTCAGACAAAAAGATGTGAAATCCTGACTCACCAATCGATTGTGAATTTACAGTAAATCAACTCGACTTGTTTCATCATCGATCGTTATCAAATACTAGTAAACTCAATTTGTATGGAAAATCTGTAAGCTAACTTGATCCACGGAGGCTGTACGAGTCGATGTTTAACCCTTACCACAACAACACAATCTTCAATTCGTTTAAGACATATAACTTCCAAATTTTACCATGGTATTTAACCAAACGTGTCATACATGGGGGTTGAGTTATGGCTATAGAGTCGAAAGTCACGGGGCTATTATAACTTATATCAAAATTCGTCTGAACACAAGTTTTGAAGAGTCTCATCAAATCACTGATTGTGATGATGTAGTAACATCTAGATCAGTATCATCAGATACCCCATCCATTCACGCTTGTAAGATACTTCCCTTCTATTTTATTTTTTTTTTATTCCAGTTATGTGGAAAGTTTCGAACCAGTGGTGGTAAACCAGGGGAAGTAATCGTCAATATCGTAAAGGAAGAAAAAGCAGACCTGGTAGTGACCGGAACTAGAGGATTGGGAAAATTCCGTAGAACCATCATGGGCAGTGTTAGTGACTACATCATCCATCATTCCCCCGTACCTGTCATCGTTTGCCGATACAAACCTGAACAAAAGTAGGAACGCGTCGGAAGAATTAATTTAGATCCTAGATGTTGAGTTACACTGTAGAAACTCACCCAAAACATAATTTTAAGTAGTTCATGTTATAATTTAGATGTTGTTGCAGCAATACTTCATAAACCCCGAAATTCAAATCTCGTTTTAAGAAGTTTGGCGCGAAAGGTCATGGGATACCATCAGAGCGATTGCTTCATTTACGTAACAAAAATCATCCTGATTTAAACTTGAACTCCAATCTTCCATATTTTTTATTTGAACTCTTCCCATCATCCATCATATTGATAGAAATAATGCATGTGTGGAAGTGTTCAATAGAAAGTTGAGGAATGTTATATAGATAGTTGACTGGATGACTATATCCAGCTCCGCGGTTTGGATTAGAATGAATAAACTGTTTCATTGTTCTGTAATAAACTATGTTTTCTTTATTTCCAATCTTATTAATTGGTTGTTGTCTGTCGAGGTAGGGTGGATCCTAGACTGGTTGGGTGACACATTGATTATGGTAGTGGTCCATACAGCCGCGCACCAGATATCGTTGAAATGATAACAGAGAAGCCTATTTGCTGCAATTGCACACTGTTTGGCGTTAGCCCTACAGAAAAGTAAGACGTAACACGCCATACGCATAAGATACAAAAACTATCGTTTTGTAATTTGGATTGGTCTGCAATTTTTCACGGATTGTTCCCCTTTAAACTGTTCTATTGATCTTGGTATTGGTAAAATGGCTATTAACAAACCTTGTATCCAGTTACAAAGTCAGTAGTATTTTAGTTCTTGTGAATGTGTTTTGAGGAAATTTCCCTCATTGCACGCTATCATGGCGTTGCAGAACTTCAGTAACCCAAGAAGAGACTGAGAGGCAGGATATAGAATTCTATTTCCTTTTTAATTCAAGATTTATGAATCATTTTTTTCAGCAATTTGATAATTCTGACAAATGTAAGATGATAAATTTTAATTGAAAGAAAGTTTCTTTTTATAAATGAGATAAAAATTGGTATAAATATTATAAAATAAAACAAAATAAAACCCTTATCACCTTAAAAAAATTCATTTCTCTCGCTCGAGATATAGAGAAGAACAAATTAAAACTCCGATAAAAAATCTAAATATATCTTTTTGTACTTCTTGTACGATTTCTGTCTGTGGATATAGTTGCCTTAAAAAGTTTAACCGACTGATAGAAAGAGATTTATTTAAGCTATGTGTATCACTTTTTAAAATTGAAATCCGACATCAATTTAATACAAATGATATGCAGACGGAAGTGACGATAGTAAATTGAGAGGCGATTTATGCAAGAAAAATGCCCTATTGCCGTCAGTGGTAACACAAATTTGAGAGAAAGTTAATAAAGGCCAGGAGGCCCACACTGGCACAAAGGTTGTCCACCAACTTTGATATTCAAGATGATTTGTCCTAAGATTTTTTGAATACTGTATTATTATAAATAACAATATACCAATCCACGCCACATGTGACCATATACCACCGACCGACGACAGGTCTGAAATCTACCAGCTGTCGTCTGCTGATTATCGCAGTTCAAACAATACTATATTTTCAATAATTCTACCTTAGACATGCGTATTACACAGTGAATATCGCTCAATCTACATTCCGTATTTAACTACTATAGAATGTGTTTAGATTCTAACGAGAACGTGGTATGTAGAAGGTACTAGTGATATTATTATTGACGTCTGCTAGCCTGGATAATGGCGGGAATTATTACTGTATAGTACTTGTAACGTACTTGTCGCGTCTGGCACGGTTTCAGTAAGTACCAATATATTTTACAAATTTAATTAAGTCATTTGCCATAATTAATTTGATTTACGTCATCGATCGAATGTAGTCGTCCATTTTGGATTAGATTCTGCGGGACTATCTGCCACTCTACTGAGATCGATATGACTATCTTTTTACGTTGTTACGGGAGATAATTGAATATTTGTATAACCCTGAAATACAACTTGCTTGTGGATGTTAAGCAGGCGTTCCACAGCAGACTTGTTTTAGAATTTTAAAATCACTCTTTTTGGATTGGAAATTTGCGGACTTGATCTTGGAATTTCTTGTCCATTCTTGGGAATATTCGGGCTTTTGGAACTACAATTTCAGACGAAATCTTCTGGAATTTGTGTTTAAGTCGACGAGGCCTTGACTAGATACTGTGTGGTTTTAAAGAGACCTTCGTAGCAGGAACAAACGGTAAGAAAAGACTGATATTTAAGTTAATGCGGTTTTAATTAGTGTCAAAATTAGCCTAGTTTTGTCTGTATTCGGGTTCAAATCTGCAATGAGTCTAATACCATGTATTATTTTTTTTTTTTAAATAGATTTTTATTGCCTTCTTATTCAATTCAAGTCCAGATCACTTTAGGAAAGAGCAATTTGATTTCCCAAATGAAAAGTAATCTTGTATACTAGTACAGTATATTATGCGAGTGCAGTCCGACCTTTGTATAAGACTCCCTAGTACTATGATATGTGCGAACAGAATGACCCTTGTGTAGTGGTATGAATAGGCTCTGACAACTATATTATGCACGTGCAGACTGGCCAGTGTCTGGGAGTATAGACTCTCAATACTATGATATGCACGTACATTAAGAACCCTAAGTAAGGATCTATGCACCGAGTTTCATGCTATGTACGTTCATCAAGGCCTCCTGTGTTAGGGTATACGCACGATGTACTATGGTGTGCACGTGTATCAAGGTCAAGCTTTGAATACTATATGCATGTGCATCAAGGTCATTGTATAAGGGTATAAACCCTGAGTACAATGCTATACACATGTAGCCTGGTCCTGTCTAAGGGTGTACAATGTTATACACATGTATCAAGGCCCCTTGTAAGGGTATTGACTTTAACTAATTACATTGTCGTTAGATAACCAAGCCAAATTCTAATCCCAATTTGCAACCAATTATCTGTTAAAGTGTAAATTTAAAAGTCATTAGTCGAGAAGTTAATGTATTTTCCCGATGTGTATATGTTGTTAATGTAGGGTAGGTCAGAATATGCTGGCTAGGTTTTGAAAATGAATGTTCAGTCTGGATTTTGAATTATTCAGTTATTCTTCACTCAAACGGTTACAATGATCTTAGTTACAACAGAGTGGTTGACTGTTGTACTAGTGACTGCTTATAAGGGTATCAGAAGGTGATGCACTGTTGTACTGTGGTCATATAAAGCAACACTTGCATCACCTTAATCTAGGTTATAATCTAGTGTGTAGATCATCGTTGTACTATTGAGTATAGAAATTTCAATAATATTTAAATCTCGGTTGTATTTTAGAGGATGGTTCACTGTTGTACTATTGTCTGTCGATAGAAACACCCAGCATAGAGTAACTTAGATTTTATTTTATGGAATTGTTTACTATTTTACAATTGTCTGTTGGTAGATACACAAGACATCACCTTACTTTGGGTTATATTTCAGAGGGTGATTCAGTGTTGTGCGAATGTCTGTTTAAAGAAACACCAAGCATCACATATAATTGGGTTTTACATGTATTCCAGTGTTGTACTATTGTCTGTTTATAGAAATACAAGACATCACATAAAACTCTTGGTTGCATTCTAGAGGGTGTTACGCTATTGTACTAAACTTTGACCGTGTGTGCGTTGAAGTTCGCTGGACTGAAAAACTTCCTCTGACCATACTGCCTGGAGTTAGGCTATACGTAATATTCCATGTTATTAATTTAGCACACCAAGAAATAGAAAAGTAGGACGCGAAGCTCATTTACTTGTCTGCATTCAGATTTTCTGAATTAAGTTAAAAGAAATTGGAAGTAGGACTAATGATCATGGTTGTCTGGAGTAAAATTTCATAAATAAACAAACCTAAGTTCAATAAACAGTCTAGGTATTCAACCATCTGCGGTGCTTGTGTTTGATGGCTGCAGAGATTAAAGTCAACGTGTGCTTCAAGCTTGATATAAAGCTAAAATATCTATGGCATTGTCGTAATGAATGTTTGAAAACCTTTGAAATTCGGACTGATTTTACTGATTTAAGAAAGAAATTGATTTTTCTGATAAGGTCAAAACCGGAAGTCCACGAACAGACCAACCAAATTATCACAATTATAAAATCTTCTAAATGTCTAGTGGAATTGGTGGCGCTGTCGTTGAAAATGTACTCTACTCTCATTGCACACTGCACAGAGTTAGTGGTCTTTAAGTCTATAATGTTAAGAAGGCCCATTTCATTTCTTTTATTGATAACGTCAAAACCGGAAGTTCACCTGTCAACCAAATTAACATTGTGTAATCCTTCGACAGGTGAATTTAGACTAAACTAGACGAGACGACTGTTCTATTCTGTACAAGTTACAGAAAATTTAGACAAAAAACAACTCAGACCGGAAGTTTTTACTTTATATACTTTATATAAGTTGGAATTCTCCAACAGTTGAAAATCGTACAAGTCCAGACGAATTGGTATCATACTAACTGTTCTTGTCCAATATGATACCATCAAACCCGGAAGTGCGACCAAATTATTGTAGTGTAATGACACATGGTAGTTTTTATAAATAATTTATTTGATTTTGATTTGTTTATAATAAAAAAAATTATTTAGTTTATTTCCACCCCACGGGTAACACTATTAACCCAATTTACATCATTAGAATAATTATTGTTTTTAATTGGATCCAGCTGCCAAACCTGGTTTCTAAATTTCACTTGTTATGTTTACGTCTGAGATAAGGCGTAAGGCCATGATTTTGGTTTCCCTAAACCTCGGTCCTTTAAACCGTTTTTCTCATCGAACAAGTAAATTAACTAATTTATTTATATATAGGCGTATGAGCCAAATATTAGCATATCTATTCGAGCAGCGACAAAGAAAAGTACAGGTAAAATTCATGGGAAAATTTCCGGCAAACCTCCTGCCCCTTTAACATCTAATTACCTTAAGATTTCAATTTCTTTTCTTTTTGTTTTCTGATATTTATTACTGGTTATCAATAACAGGCCCTTCTTTACCCTCTCTGGTTGGTTAAAAACAACGTCATTAGTACGGGAGTGGGTAAGAAATATTGTTAGATTAGAATGGAGAAGTTAATTACATTTGATGTTAAAGGGGATTGATTTTTAAAGTACTAATAACAATAAGTGGTATGCTGCTAGATAAAATAGCCAAACAAGAACTTAAAAACAGCAAAGACTAAGCTAGAAGGTGTAAAAAGGTGTACAAACAAGCCTAAAAAGTGTAATAAAAAATCTAGTGGGTGTAAACTCTTAAAAAACAACACACTAATAATAACAAACGATATGCTGACGGGAAGAATGATGATAGTGGCAGGTATTTCAACAAGTAACTATTTAAACAACTTTTTTCACTCGTAAAATATAAACATCGCTATCAAGACTAGATTCTTTATTATTTACACCCT